AAGAAAAATCGGACCAGACTCAGCTGGGATTCTAAGGTGTGGATGCCCTTCTTCTTCAACAACAAGCTTGGCATCGACCACATTCCTTTTGTGGTCACGGCAGTATCCTATCATTTGGGGTCGGAGCCCACTTGTGGGCACTATTGCACGGCGGTCCTGGCGGGTGGCTTCTGGTGGGTCTTCGACGATGGCTCCAGGCCGGAGAAGTTCGACCGAATCCCAACTGTGATCCAGGAGAACTGCTGTCTCCTATGGCTCAACTGCACGCCACATGGAGGTGCAGAACCCGTCTCAAAACTGACGGAGGAATCTCCTCTTCTCTCTGAGGAGGAGAAGCTTGCGAACATCATCCATGACCCCTCCATAAATGATGAGTGGCACCACAAATGGCTCCAGGCTCTTGACAGGCTTGATGCTGACATCCTGGTGGACCACCCGGGACTATGCCATCGGCTGGTGAAGAAGTGCATCATCTGCCAAAGTTGGCCTCGTGACATGAATGCACACCTTGAAGTTGCACATCGAGCACTGTGGGAGGCCTCCCTGCCGGTGGCCGACAAATGTGGAGCTGCCTTCAATGCCAAAGCACACCCAACCAGGTGGTGTGCTTGCCAGCCATACCACACAACTGAGCTGTCTGAGGACCACCCGTGTCCATGCCTACGCCAATTTGGCATTTTGCACTTGGCATTGCGGAAAAGCCAGCCAATTTCCGCCAGAACGAATCTGGCACGCTTGCTGGACCTGACCTTCAGCTAAAAGCTGAGGCTGGAAGTCCCTTCGGGGACCAGGCGGATCAATGGATCCACGCCATCATCACTCGATGAGCGTAGAGAAAGAAAAAAAAGATGATGATGATGATGGTGACGACGACGACGACGATGATGATGATTATTATTAAACTTGTGGTCTTTCGAGAAAGACTACACCAGCCCGCAGAAGTCAATGCAATCCCAGAAACCATGCCAGTTCCCCATGAAACGCCGCGCATTCAGGAAGTCAAACGAGTCAATGGAAAGTGCAAAACACCATAAGCAGCCAAGCAGCAGCAGCAAACAAGCAGCAGCAGCAGCAGGCTCCAAAGCGCACAAAGCCAGGCTCCAAAGCCACACAGGTACCTCTTCCTCTATTTGGAGTAAAAACCTCAACAGCTCCCGCTTTGCGACAACCAGTTTGCAACCTAGTGGCGGCTTTCTTGGATTTCTGGTGTGCACTATGCTGCATGGGAAAGTCACCTTCCACATCTCAAACCCCACCTCAAAGGTTGGTACGGTTCTCTTGCATCTGGAAGCCCCATCAGGCATCAGTTTCATGAGGCTGTTTGGAGGCTGTAGCAGCAACAGCAGCACTGGGGCTTCGGACTCCGCAGGAGCTTTGGAACATGCAAGGGCTCTCGGTCCCTCGTGGACGACACAGGCAGAGCGATAATGCGCCGACTAGTGATGGGCAGAGACCAAGACCTAAAGGGATCAGGGAAGCTACTCTTCATGGAGAAGGCCTCCCTCCCAAATAACCTGTCCGAGAGGATCACAAGAGGCATAGTCTGGTTGTTCTTGCAGACTGTGTTAAACAGCTCTTTTTTCACCGCAAATGTATAATGCACTGGCTCTTGATACTCTTGATACTCTTGATCTCGTCCCCACCACATTTCGATCCGAGCGGCTTCAGAAGCTAGGCATCGCCACTTTGCATAGCTTCGATAAACAAAACGAACAAAACGAATGACATACGACTTTGCATCTTGAGTCCCTCTCAGTTTGACTACCAAAATGCAACTTCGTAGGGTTTGTGGTCTGGAGTCTGGACGTAATGGTTCCCAATACAATCTGGCTTGGCTCATCTCGAATGAAAAAGAGCACGGTGGGCCACCAAACAATACATGATGCCCGACAACTGATGCCCGGATGATGCATGTGAAGCACAAGTTTGCAACAAGGTGTTGCCATTTTCAATGCCACGTGTGTGCCAAAGCAAACCTTGGCCTTCACGTTGACGAGGCCTACTTTAAAAATAAAGTGATCTTCACGTTCAATACTCTCTATCACCGACTTTGTGTAGATCCAGTTGATCCCCCCATCTCCCGTCAGTCGGCTCGAGGTTCAGGCTTCGAAGGCGGTTCCTGAGGGCAAAGGTTCCCAACCATTTGACGTGTGCGATGCGATCATTGCATTTCTGCCATCTCAGCGACAGAAGACCGTGCCGAGACAAAAGACCGTGCGGATAACGGGCACTTTGCCCATGGCAAAACTGGGACGATCAGAGGAACGCCCAACGACCATCCCTCAGGGGGCGAGCTTTGGACGATGCTCACGATTCGGATAAAAGAACGTGAGAAGACCCTTGTTCGGGCGAGAACAGTCTACAAGCTTTTCTTGAAGCCTGGACTCTTGGACTTTCCAAACCAAATCTTCTTTTTAATTTGCAAATCGGAATCCAAAGCAGAGAAAGCTCCTAGTTCTGATTTCATTGACTCCTTATCTTGAGACCCTAGTTCCTGCTAGGCGTCTCAAATGCTCATGGCTTTACAGGCATGGTTTTGGAATCCCAACAAAGCTTCTGAGGACAAACAAACACCTCTTCCTTGTCCAAGTTTGGACCGTGCGGCTCCAAGCCTCTACAGCGTCCAACGACTCCTGTCGAACCGGTGGTGTGGCTTTGGCACCTGGGCGGTGCCAAACAGCTGCAAGAACGTCACACACGATGAAAATTCGGTCCAGAAGTGTCGACAAAACCCAAAACAAGCGAGGGACCATCACACTGAATAGCCTATTTTGGTACTGTATCCCACATTGGTCATGGACACCCTGAACCATTTTTGTCTATAGTGTATAACACGTGGAAACTCAAGAAAACTGTCCTGAACAATTTGCAGCCTAACCTCGCTCATCACGACGTCAGGATCCAAAGGCATTTTCTGTAAGAACTGTCCAAAGAATGTTATAGCGCAACTCTGGCATACACTGTGGCATCACTATGGTTTTCATAGGATTTCATCAGATGTAACATATGCAGTACTAAAATGGATGTTATTGGATGTAACATAGGGTATCCTCGCAAGCCTCAATTGCTGTGCTACATTTGGCATGGCCCGCCGGGCTGAGGGTCGAGGTCCCAAAATGGCAAATTAGATCCATCGAGCTCAAAACAAATCCATGCCGAATGAGCATCCTCAGCGCTGTTTTCTCGACTACAACATACTTCACGGTGTCAAACTGGGTGAGAATCTTTCTTTACTTCATAGTGGACCCTTCACAAAAAAAATCTCAAAACACATCATCCTTTCCTGTGTACTTTCTCCATCAATGTTGCATCCTGCACGGAGCTGAAAACTTCTGCAGCGAACGCCTCACGCCGCCATTCAGCAGCATCAGAAACGGCGTGCGTCCTGTCTGTGCGCCAGCATCCCACGCCGCCGTCTCTGCAGCTGCCAGCCAAGCTTTTTTGGACAATTTCTTCTTCTCAACCAGGATATGAACGAGATGGCACCCTGCCAACTTGGACTTCGCCACGCCTCCTTTGCACTGTCAAGCGGTCCAGCTGCGATCTGGAAGAGCAACTGCCACACGGAGCAGTCTGGCTGAAGGATGCACAGGGCCTTTTGCTGGGTCCTGGCTCCCGCTGAGTTGTCTCCTTCAAGTTGAGTCCAAGTAGTGTGTGCCAGCCTCACTGCGAGTACAATGCAAAGGAGAGCAACCCACCATCCGATTGAGTCTAGTTGAGAGGTGTCTTTTTTTCCGATGGTCAGAATCAAACACTCCATAATTTTGTAAGGTTCCGAAGCCCCTGCAGCTAGACCAAACATGTCCTGGACCTTTGCTTGGGGAAGGACCACACACTACTTACCTTTGATGGTTCCAGGGTGTCTTTCTGCTGTGATCGCTGAGTATCCAAGGTCTTACGTGTCTGCAAAGTTTTCCAGCTGCAAAGGTTTCGTGGTGGCTCCAGACAGAGTGTCTCACATCTACTATAGCTCGTAGAACATTCTTCCCTGCATCCTGCATAGCTCCCAAGGCCATCAATCTACGTGCCCTTCTGAGTCCGTCTTGGCCCCCTAAAAAGCACACATCAACACTCAACACCTTCCTCTGCCTTCACTGCCTTCTACTTTCCTTCCGTCACCGGATTCGACCACCGGATTCCACCTGGAAATTTCTCCAGCGTCCCATGGCACGCTGCGCATGTTGCGTCAGCAGCAGCCCATGGAGCCGTTGACCCTGCGGCTCCTCCAGCAGCGCCCAACTCACACGCCGCAGCCGGTGCCACGTCTGCGAGGGTGGCAGCAAGCGTGAGTAGGGGGAAGCCTGTTTGGGCGGATGGTCCTGTGTTTTTGGGCCGAAAACAGGGGCCCTGGAGATTCTTGCGGTAGAGCCACTTGCTGCCCTCAACACGTGGATGACTCCTGATCCACAACCCGATGCCTCAGTTCTAGGGGCACACTGCACAAAAACACAGTTCTAGAGTTTCCTTGTACCGCATGTTTCATCGAAAATCTCCCAACAGCGCTGCGGTCTGCACCTCTCCCTGACTATGGCTCATCTCCCCAACAGCGGCTGTTGACTCCAGCGCCATTTCCAACGAGGCTTGGTCCGGCGTCGCCAGCGAGGCGTGGTAGATCACCGCCCGCGCCTGGTGAAAACAAGAACACAGGAAACAGGCAAACATAGAGACTTGACATCACCCGCCAAGAGGGGGTACCATGGAAAAAAGAGGAGCCCATAGACCGCTTTGGAAACACCCCGACCCCGGCACTGTCTTTTTGCGATATGGTGATGGTCAATTTCACTCTCGTCAAATGCGTTGCTGGGTCTCACCTAAACACATCGCACTGTTGGATTCGGATCAAAACCAAAACCCCATGAAGAAGTCGTCCAAAAGCTTTGAATTCAGCAGCAATCACCGAAAGAAAAAATGACGCAGGCGTCCCGTGTGAAGTGAGATTGACATGGCAATCTCACTTCTCTTCAACAAAAAAGACAAGTAAGTCATTCCGCCATATTCCGCCGTAGTGGCTTCTGCCAAAAGGAGCATCATTTGATGTTTGGCAATCGCCTGTCAAACAAGCTCGGACAAACACTGAAACACGACCTGCGCACGGGCTTCCCCTCTCGTGGCCACCAGGGTCCTGCACAAGCATCTCGCTCATCTTGTAATTGGCCTGGGGACGACGAACCAACAGGGGCACATGATTCAACTGGAGAATCATCAAGTCATCAAGCGAATCCAGTTACAAAAATGAGAACATTGGGGTCTGTCTGTTTGTGAAGGTGCGTTGGTGCGTGGCAAAACACTGCTCTCGAACAGCCGGCTTCCGCCCGAAACGGGCCAGACCACCGCCACTTCGCTTCCGACCATGCCGTCAAGTCTCTACGAGAGCTGCCGTATCAGCCGACTCCAAGATTTCGGCACATGCCTGATGGCGTGCTGACCGCGTTGCGCCCGCAACGGCATCAATGTCCACACATGCGGGGGAAACCCTTCAGATATGATCTAAGCATGTTGTTTGAACGGCCCACAGACGTTCACCCTTCTGGAGAACATGGGGTTGGACCAAAAGACTTGGGAACCTCATGGAAAGCGTGTTGGTCGAGTTCTCTATTTGCAGTCCGAATCCCCCTACTGTAGTCCAGGAGAAAAGAATGCGCTCCGAATATTGAGTATATATATAAAATAGAACTGCCTATTCTCAAGAATCATCTATAACTGGTCATCATGAATTATTGATGAGTTTGAAATATCAAGGGACGTCGGTTTCTACACACGGCCTAGCTGCCTCTAAGAAACAATCATTAAAAAAACCACCTGCTGGTGGCTTATCATGAAGTCTTTGCGGAACTGTCCCAAAAACAAGACAGAAATCCAACTGTGGTCCTCTCAAAAATACCGGCGTCTCATCAAGCCACTCTTGAGCAAGAATGATTGCTTTGCACCGTCGCTGGAAGGATGATTATATGATGATATCGATGTTCATGCAAAAACTTCAAAAGCAATTCCTTCTAATCTGGTTTCCTCACCATCCCACAATAACTTCCGATACAGTTTGAGGAGTAGAAGATACCCCAGCATGACTTGCGATGTATCTTGCTGCTTGACTGCCCCTTCCGTATTGAGTGCGGGTGCAGAAAAAGTTGAAGGAAACTCCAAAACTAAGAACAATGGTTCTTCAGGAAAGGATCTAATCTGATCTACTTAGGTCCAATTGTATAAGTGCAGAGTAGAAGGGACCGTATTGATATACACATACTCAAACATAGAAGAGTACAGAAATATGTCAAAAAACGTGACAGGACCAGCTCTTCGTCTTGGGGGATCTATATACCGAGACTGGGAAGGATCGGGTCATGAGGGTCGTCGCCTTCACATTGCCTGAGAGCAGGTGCGCTTTGGCACGGGCCGCCAGGGCCAGCACATTGGGCACTGTGCCCATCTCGAGCATCCTGGCGACGGCGGATGTGCACGCCACCAGATTGCGCATCGATGCGCACGCCAGCGCTGCAGAAGTGCTGTAGCTACTGCAAAAGCGACAAAAGTCAAGACAGCTAGCACCACGACAATGACGATGACGGATCCTACCACTGCTCAGACGATGAAAACGATGGCGACCATGACGCCAACGACGACCGCAACAAGCAAAAGGACACAATTGAGTTCTTCTTCCATTGGGACGAATCGCGTTCGAAACAAACCCACGCTGCTGTTTCTTCAACAGCCACAACAAAGCCAAGAAGATTCAAATTGCCTCTGCCAAAGAGCTTCTGCGCGCTCTGCATTGCGCTGTTCGCCGGCCACATGCACCAAAGCCGCGAGCAGCACAGGGCTTGGGCACCTAGCATGGTCCTCCCCAGGGCTTCCGCTTGCTTCCAACGCAACACTACAAGCCAATTTCAAGATATGCCATTTGACAAGCCCTCGCAATGCGAACTTACAAAATTGCAAGCATTGGAATCGTGCAATCACGCCATCCAGGGCTAAAATGCCTTTCCGTCAAAGGTGCTTCGTCCACCCACAGGTCCTTTCCAAGAATGTCCATCAGTGTCATTCCATCATTCTTGACCTCAACAGTCTGTCAATGAGACTTCGAGAATACCTGTCCTTGTCATCGGATTTAGCTTTAGATCTGCCTAACCACCGAGCATCGGGGCTCCTCCATCTGCCGGAGCATCTCGTCAACACGTTCGTGCTTTCCACACTTGCTCAAAACCTGAGTGGTTGTGGGTGGAGGAAAAGCACAACACAGGTTCGCAACTTCTCACTACCTGGGCTCAAACGTCCAGGAGTTTGTTTGATATGTAAGTTCTATACACAAAAGTCTACTCTTTGGCATGCTTGGCTTGTGCCAGCACCCATCAGGCCGCACGAGCAAACTGCAAACTAGAATGTCAAACGCGGTGGTGGCTAGTTTTGCCAGAATCATCTCACGGGAAACCAGGCTGGGCCTTCTGAATTGCTGTCCATCATCCACCGCGCGGCGCGGTCAAAAACCCACCGTAACCAGGTCAGTCGAGGTTTGTTTCCTGCGAGGATAAGGGTATTGTCCATTCTTCATGGGATTCTCGCGGTCTTAGAAACACTGCCTTGCTTGCTATGATTCCTGTTGTTTTGTCATTTGCTCTACCTTTCGTGGGATGATTCTTCTGGAATTTATCGTCTTCATGTGTCCTGTATGATGTATGACACCTGTATGCCTGTACTGTTGCAAACCTTCCACCAGCCTAGACGCCGGAAAGCCTTTTGGATAAGCTTGCTCATGAGGCGTTCCTGTGTGGGCAAGCCCAGTCATTTAGAACTGCTTGCTGCATCCGTCCGTAAAACCAAAATCAGCCATGCACTCTGATGGGATCGCCGTCTGCCAACCACGGTGGTTCCGGTTCCAGACGAAACCAGACGAAAAGTGGTGAGCTCAAGAACCGGTGAGAAGGCTCCAGATCAAGAACCGAGTCCAAACAAACAAAGGCAAACATTGAAGAAAGTCCAAAGAGTCCAAACAAACTACCCTTAAGTGGAAGACAATAAAGACCCTCAAAGTTCAGTCGTCTTCTCTGAGTCACCGTGAGAAAGGTCTCATAGTTCACTTGGTTGGGCTGGATGCCATGCTTGAATGCCCAGCTCCAAAGCTCTTCGGCCCAGCCCAAGGCCTCTTCACCGGCGCAAGTGGTAGACACTGAACAAACCTCGGTGGTCGTATGAAGTCAGATTGTTCAGGGTCGAAGAGAGTGGTTTGGGTCGAACTTGGCGTCTTCCGTGGCAAACCGGTGACATGACCTGTTTCTTTGCTCGGGCGTTTGGGCACTTGCTTCACCTGTTGCCCAACGAAACAAAATAGAGAATGGGGGGAATGCCAACTGGAAAGCACCAACTGAAAAAAGGATGAAAATAAAATCCAAACCCCGGAGTTCCCTAACCACTATGAGAAGGGCGAGGACACGTTTGACTGAAACCGACCCAGATGCCAAGATGCATGAAGAGCTGAATTCAGCAAGATGCGCCCCTGGTCCAAGGTCGCAAAGTGCCCAGTAAACTCCTGAGACATCAACAAAAAACAAAACTCAAGAAGATTTGCTTTGACATCATGCCATCTAACCCAGAACAAAAGGACTGAAGCATCTAGCGTGGTCACCCGCCCCATGTTCAAATCGCCAAACAACTAAGGCTTGAAAAATTAAAATAGAACTCATAACTCAAACACTAAGGCCGAAGTACAAGTAGTAAGATCACACCGGCATACTCCATCAAAAACAGACAGAAGCACCCAAAAAAATATCAAGTACATCACAAAAATATCCGTGAGAGTGTCCAGTGACCGTGAGTGCGCCTAACAGAACTCAGGCAAACAAGTGGGGAGACTCACGTTTCGAAGTACACAGAATGATTGAGGATGCTGCTCCTCAAGCATGCGTTGTGCCCGATAAAAACAATACGGTGCTATATAATATACGTGTGTAAAAGTATATGAGTACAAAAAGTATCCCCACAAACACCACAACAGGATATTGCGCGGGTACAAATACATACGTACAACAACACGCGCGCAAACAGTACAGCTCCTCGGTCTGACAAGCATCACGCACAAGGTTCAAACATAGCAAGGCAAGAGCAACGCAGAGCCAGACTATTCGCAACACAACACGGCACTACTCTGGAGGTTTTACAGGCTTCGCGGCTTCATGATGTCGCACGTATAAATATACACATACAAAAAAATGCGCGCAAACAGTACAGCTCCCAGGCTTCACAGGCATCGCAAGTGTTGAAACATATCAAGAACAAGGCATGCCAGACTGAACCAGCACCACTACTCAACACGGATACCCTGTTTTCAAAGTGCGCACTGCTCGAGTGCGAGCACAGCCGGGCTCGCGGGGGGAAGGGGGTGGTGCTCCCTCTGTCCTCCCAGGCCCTCCTCGCATCCGCGAGGAGCTTCTTCTGCGTCACAGGTGTATCCGCAGCGGTGCGACCACAGCGGGCCAAGGCAGTGAGGTAGATGCCCAGGCCCACCTGCACGGCAGATCTGCGGCAGGTGCCGATGGCGAAGGACACGTGAGGTGCTTGGATGCGGCAGGGCCGTCAAGTAGGTCTGGTAAAGCAAGTGAGTCATTGGTGACAGCTGTGGTTGACAGCAATTCAGCATTACCCAACATACCAAAACCAATAGCTGACCTCTTCTTCAGCTCTTTGTAAAGGAACAGCCAATACCATCCAACACCTTCCAGGCACTGAAAGTACAAATCTTTCACATTGGGTTTTGCAATCAAAAGTTCAGGTTCACGAATTTTGAGCACCAACCTAGCCCCCACCCGGCAGTGGAAGATGGTTTCACCAGAACCCTCTTAGCAGGGCAGAGCCTGTGTTTGTCCAGGGGAAGGGAGTGTAGGTGCTGTTCCCATATGTCCTGTCCCCAAGTTTTGCTCGCGAACCTTCGATGTCTGACGTGCCATGAGAGTGATAAGAATAAGAGACTCCCAGCTTGGATTGGATCTCCGACAGCTTCAACCATACCTGCTGAGCTAGGGTTGCAACCTCCCGCTACTGTCCCCCTGAGACCACAAAAGAAAACAGACTCCCTGTTACCACACCCATGCTGTACTGTTTTCATCCAAAATTCAATTCAAAGAGCCATCTCCGTCAACGAGGAGCTCTCATTCCAACAGATTCCAGTCTTTTGAAGCTCGATTCCGAGCTCTTCGGTCGACAAGGAGGTGAGGGATCCCCAGTCTCCCTCAATCTGACGCCTCATCCATCTCTACCCCATGAGCGACTTGCAAGCGTCTCACTTCTTGAACACCGTCCTCAGAGAAGGACTGACTAGTCTAGGACTGTCCATTCAATCGTTCTGAGGATGCCTTTGGAGAAATCCTTGAAGATCAGGATCAGGTTTGTCAACTTCGCACCCTCTAAACACCTCTGTGTACATATGCTAAGCAAGCAAGGCCATCCATTTCTTTAGGTGTGCTGAACTGTGCAGAAAAGGATACATCCAGTAACAGCTGACGAGCCTCCACACGATCATAGCTTTTCTGAATGGATCAATAAGACAAGAAAGCCGGTGAACAACCAAAAAGATTGCTCTTCTGAAGAGCAAGACGCAGCTAGACTGTGCACCAGCATGAACCATTGAAAAAAAGAACTATATAAATGGTCTTCTGTGGGTCTATGCTTTTGGCCTATGTTTGAGGTTGGGAGCGACAAAGGATTTAGTGAGTCGTCGACATATTAAAGCAATGGAGGGAAGGAATTCTAGGATAAAAAGAAGCACTGAGGCGACAATCAAACCTGTCATGTTGTACTTGTTTGTGGTCAAGTTCAAGAAAAGGAGAGTGCCTGCATTCAAAACAACTAACAGCCAGTGTATTCATTTGGCCTTGAAGCTATGCTTGGTGAGAGCTGCGGGAACCATGATCTGCTGTAGAACCTTAAAGGCTGTTTTGGACAAAACTCCTTCCAAGCACCTTTACATCAAACCTTTTTTACTTCCGGCAAACAAAAATTGAAAAGTAAAACAAGTAAAAACAAAGTACCCAATCTCACCCCACTTGGTGTCAGACATTGCCATGTTTTAAACCCGTAAACCAACTCGTCAAGGCTCCCACCAGCGCCCTTGCTCGCAGCGCTTCAATGCCGCGCCGAACACATGGCGGTCCACATGGCCGTCCATCGAGGTCGCCCGGAGGGCACGGCTAAGATGACTCAGGAGCTCTGAGACGCCTGAGACTCCCGCGGTGGACTCCGCCCAAGGTAGGGACATAGTGTCAGACAACACAAAAAGCAGAATATCAGCATTTGAGTCTCAATATTTGTCCAGCACGCACCTTCAAGCAAGTATGGAATCAAAAATTATGCCTATTAAATGAATCACTCGGCAGAGAAGAGAATGTATCAGCTCAGGATTGTGTTTCCAATGTTTCCTCCTTTCATGCCCAGCGCATCAATTACTTGTCACTTTGGGCCGACTAGTGACTAGATGCTGCTTGCCATTTGTTTGCTTGCGGCAAAAAGAACTCGAAGCGAAAGGGACAACAGATTGAGGACCTTATCCAGTTGCACAGAACAACGGACCAAGCCTTCCTTTGGAATCACTGGGCCCCCAAAGTTGAAGCCCCCGACCCCCAGCCGTCCCGCTTGTTGCCCGCTCCTCTGGACCACTGGAGATTGGCGCGGAGCTTCGCAGACACGGCGGGGCCCGGCACTTGGGTGGGCGAGGGGATGAAGTCCTCGGTCCGGCCGAGGTCGGACGACGGGCGGCCGGGCTGCCAAAGTGTCCCGCGAGAAAACCAGACACCCGGTAGTCACAACCAACCCTGTGCCAGGAACCCCCTAACCAATAGGTTCAAACTTGTCCTTTCCACCAAATACATGACAAATTCAAAACTACAACTAGGAAACTGGGAGTCCCCCATGGCCGTAGGTTGGTTGCCAAGGTACTTCGGAGTAAATGAACTGATTCGCCTGCTCGCCTTGTCTCGCCTATCGACTGTGCTTCAGGGTATATGGGTAGATCCAGTGATGGTGCTGACCAAATCCGGGTTGAGCAATTCCACTCAGAATTCTTGAGCCACCGAAGTTGCTTGGCTGCAAGATGCCCACTATGAAACCCAATGGTCCCCAGCCTAGGCACAAGATTTCAGGAATTTCTACTGAGAAGGCTCTACCAAATATACGTAGATGTTCCTTCCAACGGGAGAGCATCACCCAAGCTGGAGTTGGAGTTGGTCCCAACTCTACGTGATTGGAGTTGATGGGGCTTGGAATGTACATGCGTGTGTATCAGAATCGGGAAACCGACCCCCATTGACTCCCTGGAAGGGTAGACTGCCAGGGCCGGGGTCTCCCTATTAATTTCCACGCCCACATTGAGCTGTGGGAAAAGAGCATCCCCCTTTGCTAGCCCATGTTGCATCGTCGATCACCTGGGTCATTTCCCCGACCCTGGTTCGAAGTGAGGACCAACGGATCTGGGATTGGGTTCATGACCCCGCTTCGACATCCATCTCGCGGCGCGAATCCCAGTCTTCAAGCTGCTCACAAGGCAAAACAGAAACACTCTTAAGGCAGCATATATATATATACATATAGGTATATATAAGGTTTCTTCCTCCTCCATGAACAGTTGCACCTTGCTGTATTATCCAAAGAATAATGAGTCCACTCATCACAACCAGGCACAGAACACCTCTTGCGATGACCGCGAGACCTGGGCAAACAGGACAGAAATCAAAGGCTTTCTTGGAGGCAGAATCTGCATCAGATGACTTGCAAGGATACTTTTTGGATCTTTTTGGAGACTTGGCTTGGGAGGGTCCAAGAAACATACTTTCAATGGGATAGGCCGATGGGTCAGGATATTTTCTTGGGACATGTCCGGGCCCTGTGGCATGCCTAGCACCCTTTTGCGAGTTGGGGGCACTAGAATCAGCCAGACTAGAGCCTTCTCAGACCTCATTCCTCCAAGCCCAAGAGTGGAGTATGCCATGCCCTATCTCTTCCCTTATGAATGGGAGGTCATCCAAAGTCATTCGACGAACAACGCTGGTTGGCAGCCAGGTGACCGTTCCTCGGACTCCGCGACTCCGAGCGCGCCCGTTTTGGCTGGGCGCGCTCGGAGTCGCTGCCTCTGAGCAATGCAGGTGTTCTCAGGCCGTGCATGGATCCAGCGCACCGACATCCAGACCCACATCGGATCCAGACCCACAGCATCGGCACATTCGATGTTTGCACAGTGTGTGTCCGGCTCCTGAAAACCGGGAAGCCTTCTTTTGGAGGTTCGAGTCAACAAGGGTGTGGATGGAAGTGTTATTGTTTACGTTTGTCTGATCTGTGCTTCCGAAGGGCGCTGAAGAGGTTCGCTTGTTGTCAAAATCAATGTTGAGAAACTGGCCTGGCCCCCAGGCTGGAATGACCAAAATTGTACTTCTTTGGATTTCACCTTGAGCCAAACCTGCGAACCAAATTGCAATTCCAAAGAAGGATCCTCCGATCGACAAACCACGACGAAAATCGTGTGATCAGCCGGACCTGCTTCTGGGATTCTGTCGCCACGGCCGCCACCCCGCCACTCTCCTCAGGCTGCCACTCTCCTCAGGAGATGCCTTTGCCTGTGCCAAATCTTATTCCAAAGAAAATCCCCTTTGAAATGAAACTGCAAACAATCAATGTCGGAGTTCAACTGGGTAAAAGAGCGAAAAACACCAGAATAGCAAATCCAATCAAAATCCAATCGAATGTGACCTGAGAAATCCGAGCTTGACAGCTCTGGACAACCAAATACACCAAAGATGGGTTTCAAGCTCCAGTTCAAGCTTTCCGACGAACATGTTCGTGGGAACAAGAACGGTTTTAGCTCCTTCAAACCGGATACATCATACAACCCGACCCCCTTGCATAAGCTTCAACATGTCCGTTTGATAGTTGCAGGCAGTTGCAGGCCTCAAGTTTTGTATTTTTTCCAGGTTCTTTTCCGCCTCTGCTCGCTCAATGCCCACCTTGGCCGCACCCTTGGGGCTGATGCCTTCGTGCGCTTTCCGGGGCGTGGTACTCCTGGACGGCTTCGTTGGATTGGGAAAAAAATATCTGGGTATGACCTCAAAATGACAACATTCTGAAGCAAAGGGTGGCCCTTTGCATACCAGCCTACAGGAAGACTATATCTTTCTTTTTGCATACCATGCGCAATGAGAAATCCCTTGTTCCTAGGCCTGTTAAGAATTGTCGTGACCAATCGGACCAAATTGACAAACCATACCTTTGATGAGCTGTTTGCTGAACCCACAAAAGTTTCCTGGGCGGATTGGTGCGGGGCCTCGGGGCCAACGAAGAAAGCAAGGTTCGTTTTTTTGCGTCTAGTAAAATCAAAACACATCACACGTTCTGAAGTGGATAATTTGTGCAGCAAGACCCGAACATGAACCTACAAAGCACATGTGTTTAGTGGTTTGGTGTTTGTCCACCACAAAGATTCCTCTGCAAAGGATACGTAAAGGTTTCGTGTTCTAGAAACCTGGCCTTGAAGAATTGAAATCGCAGCGATCTACCACTTGGCACAGCATGAAATGGAGCAACTTGCATGGAAAAAGTTTACAAGTCTGTCCCTGGCCCTATTCCACTGGAGGGCCCAGCGTGACAGTCTTCGTCTTGGGAGGCATGGTGGTTGACGCATGCCGCGGCCAAAGGTTTGCGCTCGCAAAGCTGTGCTTCTATCAAAGTTCAAACTCCAAGTTCCACATGCACGAAATTTTCAACTGCTTGCCATTTGAACCTTCTGCCTCCATGTTGCTGAGTGAAAGATTGGACAAATGTTGAAAAACGTAAGCGAAAAACGTATGAATGGTTTCGGAAGCCTGTGGTTCGGTAGACCTGTGATTTTGTTTGATTGAATGTGCAACATGTAGACAGCTTGGCATAAATGGCAACATTTCACATCACTGGAACCGCAACGGCGCCCTTCATTGCATCCAACCAACTGTCTTAAGTGTTTCCCCAAACAGTTTACTGTCGGGGCTCTCTCTTAGAAAAATATTGGCCACAGTCTTTGGCCGCACCCCTGGGCCCTGTGTCCGGGTCTTGTCCTCCTCGTGTCCTCTTGGCGTTTGCACTTGTCCTGCTGTGTCAGTTTGCTGGCCAACCTTGTGTCCTCTCTTGGGTTCCTGGTGTTCTCTTCTTGTCCTCCTCTTGTTCTCGCGGTGTCCTCCCGGTTTCTTTCCCTTGTCTTCTTGGTGTCCTTCTCTTGTCCTCCTGCTGCTGTGGTCTGGCTGCGCTGTCCCCTGGCCGCGCTGGCCAAGCCTGTGTCCTCTTTTTGTCCTCTATTTGCCAAGCGCGGTGTCTCGTACGAATGCAATCTCATTGCCAATTGCAATCTACAGAACAGGGTGGCACATCCTCCTGCCACCAGGCCCGAACAGCTGCCCAAACAGGACGAACACAGACCAAACGTGCTGCCTCACCAGATGAAGAAAGAAGCTTCCTCATCATCATACTCGACCTTCCGCGGTCAAAACCAGAGGCCGTGGCGCTCGCAGCATCGCTGAGTTGAAGGGACCAAATGTCTGTCTTAGCTTGGCTGCCCTGAGCGATGATTGTCAACAAGGCGATGACCTCAGTTGTCCTTTCCTTCTTTTTGAAGTCTGGCCAACCATGCTGCTCATGAAAGATGCCGGCATTGAGTCTTGGTTCAAGCTTGTGCATAGAGTGCTGACAACTGTTGATGTCAGCCCAAGCCACCACGAATTGGCACCCCTCGTGAGGCAAAAGATGGCATCCTGCGCTCTTGTCATTGCAACATGCAATCCAAATGCCAATTGACGTGGCGCAGCACAGCTGTTGTGATACTGGAAGATGACATTGCAGACTTCTTGCCTGTGAAGTGGACCTTGTCCATCCAGACACTCAGCAAACAATTGGCACAGCGGCATGGAGCTGTCATCAACTTCTTGTCAAACCCGAAACAGTTGCATGCATTGAGCAAACAGCTTTTCAAAGGACGTTGAGCACTTGTCACGACAAGCCCAGGTGTCGACTTTGGAGTCCGAGTCTTCTGACAGAGAGGCCGCAGGGTTGGAACTGTGTGAAACGCTTGGAACGACAACGGTGGCACCATCTTTGCTCCGGGTGCGGCGCTGGCCCCGCATCTGTTCGAAAACTGCCCAATGCTCTCCGAAGTCACCGTGTCGCCAAGCACAGGGCAGAGCTTAGGCGAGGACCTTAGTCCTGTCCTGAGGGTGGGTCACGACCCTGCCAGCTGAAAAGTGCACAGACGGCACTGCACTCATGTTTCATCAGGGCACTCTGCACGATTCTGCCAGCAGGATGAAGGCGCCCTGGCGATTCGTTCTGTTCGTCACCATTTTGCCATGTGGGCAAAGTGCACTTGGGAAGGCCCTCTGTGGCGTTTTTGCTGGGGTTTTTGGACCCCACTTTTTTCGATCCCTTGAAGGAGCATGAAAGTTTGGAAAACCTGTGGGGTTGGGAAAGCGTTTGGATGTATGATGTTCTTGAAAGCAATCAAGCTTGCGGATCAATGGTCAGCTGCTTGTTTCGGCAATCTGATTGCAGCCTTGCACGCTTGGTGCATGTTTGTTTGCTACAAAGCTTGTGGTGGACATCCGCCGTGGCGCCCTGAGACCAACGTTGTGAACCCATTCTTCGTTTTGTGGTCTGTCTTTTCTTTGGATGAGAGGAAAGAAAGGTGGAGATGTTGAGCGAAGGTTTGGCGCCGTGGAGCCTGTCATTTTTGCATGCGTTCACAGGAGCCATCTCTGGTCGTTCACTATGGCAAGGAAACGTTGCTTCGTTTCATTTGACATCGTTGTTTGATGCATGTTAGCGTCAACGTTCAAATTTTCCCTTGCAACGCACTATATAGGGCTTTTGCGGTTAGAATCTGGGTTGGGTCGGACCGTCCATTGCAGCGCGCGGTACCACCTCGGTACCACTTCATTACGGCTCGGGCCCTTTATTACAATGCGCGGTACCGCCTCGGTACCGCTCGGGCCCTCTATTTCAATGCGCGGTACCGCCTCGGTACCGCTCGGGCCCTCCATTACAATGCGCGGTACCGCCTCGGTACCGCTCGGGCCCTCCATTACAATGCGCGGCACCGCCTCGGTACCGCTCGGGCCCTCTATTACAATGC